ATTATTCTCCTTAAACACCATTTTCAAATTAAGATTCTCAAAATGACAGTGGTTTTGTTTCTGTAAACAGAACCCAAGTGAGAAGGCGTGCGTCGTATTACTATAAATCAAATAAATGTCAACTTCAACAAGTATGTCGGCAACTGATTAAGATAAATTATTTTTCTTGTCATATTCACTGAAAATGTGTTGTACCTCATGGATCAAGAAGACAAGCAATAAACAGTCAAAGGGACAAATTCATAACTTTCAAGATGATCAAAAATTCATAATGCATGTATGAAGAAGAGGGAAACAAAAAGAAAAAAGAAAAAATTATTCTCTTTTGTCTAGACTAGTGTTTCATCTAGGCCCTTCTCCGAAGTATCAATATGTTAACATATACATAATTAACGTCGCATATGATGTGAGGACCTAATACGCCAAGAATAGCAATAAAAGTGATAAGGATGGAGCGGAATATGTTAAGGGAATCCCATATGGTAGATGGCTTGCAGTCTTCGTGAAGGACGGCAATTTATTATGGTACCCACATGGGCATGTTCTGTTATCTCCATGTGTCTCTCTCCAAACGAGAATTTTCGATCTCGAAATAAACTCATTTGACTTTGGTCTCTGGAACTTGGGTAATTGGGCTGTACTAAGGGTGGTCTATTATTCTCCTTAAACACCATTTTCAAATTAAGATTCTCAAAATGACAGTGGTTTTGTTTCTGTAAACAGAACCCAAGTGAGAAGGCGTGCGTCGTATTACTATAAATCAAATAAATGTCAACTTCAACAAGTATGTCGGCAACTGATTAAGATAAATTATTTTTCTTGTCATATTCACTGAAAATGTGTTGTACCTCATGGATCAAGAAGACAAGCAATAAACAGTCAAAGGGACAAATTCATAACTTTCAAGATGATCAAAAATTCATAATGCATGTATGAAGAAGAGGGAAACAAAAAGAAAAAAGAAATTTCCACCTTCACGACCTCTACTGTCTTCACTTCGGCTGGATTATGCTATGTTGATAAAATTCACATGGCTTTTCAATGCTTCTTCATTTCCTTTTTCAATTTTCTCTAAGATTCTGCTCACATGACTTTCAATGCTACCTTGCAATTCTGCAACTGTCATGATGTCTGTGTCGTGGCACTCATTTATTGTAGTCACCACATGATCAAACTTCATCGGCATTTTTCTTATAATTTTCTCCACCACCTTGCTTTCAGGAATATCTTCTCCATATACTCTCATTTTGTTGACAAGATCTGTAACTCGTGAAAAATATTGTTCCACAGATTCAGAATTCGACATTTCATATCTTTCATATTCCCTTCGCAAAGATTGCAACTTGGATTTTTGAGCTTTCTCTACACCTTTATATGACAACTTCAAAATATTCCACGCTTCTTTGGCAGTTTTGGCATTTGCAATTTTGCCAAAAATGGAATAATCTACTCCTTGGTGAATTTGTGACAGCGCCAATTGGTCTTTTCTTCTAGCAATATCATCAGCTCCTTCTGCTAATCCCGGTTCAACAAAGCTCCAAATGTTGTGAGCTCTTAAATGTGTGGCCATCAAAGTCTCCCAATAACTAAAATCTAATTTTCCATCTAACTTGGGACCAGACCAAATAATATTGTAACTGGTGGCCATATCTCTCTCTCAAAGATATAACAACTCTATTTTTTTAACAAAGTGAGAACCCTTTTTGTTCCTCACTCAAATATTTTTTCTTTTCACTCACACTATCACCAGACTCTCAGGCTCTGATACCAAATTGATATCAGTTGGACATAATTTTATCAAATTCACTCACATACGCACAGTGGAAAAACAAGAGAGGAAGAGAGAGTTTACTACAATATATTTCAATTTGAAATTTTGATACTACATACTCAGTACACGATTAGCCTTTTATAGGCTTCACAAAACATTATAATATTAATTAACAACTCACAAACAACATAATTGTAGTAAATATCATTTTAACTTGTGGGTTTAATTGAACGGTGCAGCAATTGTGGAATTTTCAAATTCCAAGTTACTGTCGGTAGCCTACAATTCTTGACTCAAGCTTGATTTAATAAAATTTACCGACAATATATGATTGTGTTTGGATAAAAATTTTACAAATACTCACAGGAAGAAAAAGTAAGATGAATTATATGTTTTATGCAAGTTAAAATCAAGTCATCATACTTTTTGAGCAGTTAAATAAATGAGTTTTAAGAACATCTCTAACGTGAATTTTTATAAGAATCACACATGAGTTCTTACATCATTTTATGTGGGATTTATTGTGCCACATTAACTTTAAGCAACTCATACTAAATTTTTAGAAATTTTATTTTAATGATGGTTCTTATAAGCATCCACACTTTTATAATTTTTTATTTACACATCACATTTTATAATTTAGTAATAATTCAATTATTATAATTAAATATTAATTTAACAAAATATAATATTCGAATACAAAAAAAAATTAATTAAAAATTCCACACATTTATTTTAATGCATATAGAAACATTATATATTAAAAATAAACAAATTACATATTTAAGAGAAATCGGGAAGAGCCGCACATTTCTGCTTCATTCTCCACTTTCGTTGCGTGGAGGAGAGGGGAAATAAGGGAATGGAGAGGCGCGCACAGGCGAGCAAAGGCGAGCGAAGGCAAGCTCGAGGCGAGCGGAGGCAGATTCAGGGACCGACGTGGCACGGAGGTAGACTTGAGGCAGGCAGAGGCGCACAGAGGCGAGTTTATGGACTGGCGGTGCATAGAGAGGTGCGCAGAGGTGGACGGAGACATGCTGGTTCCTTTTCATGAATTTTTCCTTTTTTTTTCGTAAGCAAGAGAGCTTCTGTAAGCAACGTTGCTGGGATTTAAGGAATGCACTGTGCCATCTGGATCATCTCCAATGCAAAATTTTAATAAGGAATGATGAGATGGCATTAAGAAACGGATAAGCAACTCCCACTGGACATACAGTACATAAATGTTAAATATGATAAAAGATATTTTTTATGACATTAAAATTAATTCAGGGTGAAAAAATAAAAAACAAATTAAGCAAGCCATGTTTGTTGAATGAAGTTCCCTTCTTTGCATAATTTATGCAAAATTCTTTTTAGTACTTGTTTCATCACAACATTTTGTGGTGGTAGATGTAGTTTACTGAGTCTGGGGTTTAGTTAAAGTATATTTTGATGGAGTTAACTTGTTGGGAGTTGGGAGTGTAGGCTCTTATTGGGAGTTTTGGGGCGGTGGCTGATAAGTCATCTTCTTAGTTAAGGGAGTGATTATAGTAGAAAATGAAAATATACATGTATACCGTATGGTGGTGGACTCGGTCGAATACTCCAGTACCCGACCCGACTGACCAGATCGACCTAGTCGAGAATGCTGACCACCCTTTACTTGATCCGAACACGTCGGTGGGCTCGGCCAAGTTACGGATTTATATCAGGATAATTATGGAGAGATTAATTTACGTAATGTGCCGGATTAGTCCCCTAATTTCCGGGGGCCAGTCCCTAATCGCGGCCCAATAAGAATCACTATAAATAGGATCTCTGCAAGGTACGTAACTAACTTTCAACTACCACATTTATTATGCCGAGCACTTACTTGAACGTTGGAGTGTCTTTGCAGGCACCCCCCTCTCATTTTGGACTACTCGGAGAAGAACGAGAAAACCTAGACCCAAGACAAGACCCGCTATAACAAGAACAACTAAAGTGTGTATCCTAACACGGGAACAACATGCATATAGACATTCAAGCTAGTTACAAAATGATGGAGACATGAAATATTGGAAAATGGTTAGTCTCATTCTGACCTAATTTATAGTGGGGTGGTGCTTTTTTAGGCGTCAAGTAAACAAATGTTCGTTTTGGAATGATTGTCTACTATTATTGAAGAATACTTTGAGGCATAGGTTTATGGATTTTTCTCTCTACAACAATACTCTCATGATATGTACCTCCTTCACTACGTGTATGATCCTTTTTCAATGTAATTTTTAAAAGTAAAATAAATTAATCTCTTAAAAAGTATAATATAAAAATAAACTTTAATTTTCATGTATTATCAACACAACACGTTCTATATTATTAATTGATTAAAAATCATTTTTAGCAAGTTTTTTTAGGATGACTATTAGAAAAATCAATAATTTTATTATACATCACACATTCTATAAAAAAAAGTCAGTAGATTATACTACTACTATTAATCAATCAAAATTTATGATAGATATAATCTTTTTCAAAGTAATTATTATAAAAATTTAGAAACGTACGCGAGACTAAAAATCCTTTAGAATCTTAAATTATTTATCTTGCAGTTACAAGGAAGATGCTAAATTGCTAAGCAATACTTTATTTTTATTAACCAAGCTTTTTTGTTTTGGGTGTAAATTATTAATAAAGCTAAACCCTAACAAAGACACCTAATAAGTCAGCTAGCAAAACAAAATTAAGCTACTAAGGACAAGAGTGTCAAGTGACGAAAAGATCATATGAAGGTAAATCTTAAACTTTATATCTTAAATCCTAAATTATAATTCAATATTATTAAGCCATTCTTTTAAGAAATATAAATATTAATATTAAAAATATTATAATATACTCGCTTGGAATTTTCAACGCATCCCAAGGTTTAAATTGTTTATTTATGATGTTAATTAACAAGATTTTATTAATGTGAGTTATAATATTCACGCTTAAGTAAAGTTAGTCATTACTATCGACCCTGGATATTCTAGAAAAAAAAAATATTAATGTGAGTTATATTGAAAAAATCTGAATGTCAGTTTTAGAACATAAAAAAATAAATTTGAAAATTGTTTTTAAAAGTGAATTGAATGCGAAAGAATAAAAATAGTTTCATCCATGAAAATAATAAAGCAAAATTTTATGGCTCATGTTGGCTAATGGGATTGCCACGTGGTCCGTTGGTCTCCACCCCTTTCCCTCCTTTCTATTTGTTCTACTCCACTTCCTCTTTGTCTTCTTCACTGTCGCATTGGGTCTTCCCTCTTACACGCCATGAAAATCACGCACACATTGTGATCCTGAATCAATCTCACTCTCTAGAACCTTCCGATTCATGGCTACGTCTTCTCCTCTCCCCTTACCCGAGCTCCACTTTCTCTCTCCACAAATCACCCCCAAACGCCGTATCTCACTCTCCAAACTTCCTTCCTCACCTTATTCCATTTCCCGCCACAACGCTTCTCTTCGCACTGCGCGAGTTCGCGCAATTAGAGAGGAACCTGCGTTGGCCGAGCGAGTCAACGACGTCGAATGGAGCGGAAACGGCGCTGCTGCGGAGTACGTTAACGGCGCCACTAACGGAAGCTTGGTGAAGTACGGTTACGAAAACGGAAGCGCAAATGGCGTTGCCGCGAAGGTGGTGGAAGTTGAAGCCTCCACGATGAGCGAGGATGGGAGGAAGAAAAGGTTGGAGGAGATTGGGAAAGAAGACGCGTGGTTTAAACAGACTGGGAATGGACAAGTTGAGGTTCGTCGTTTTGGTTATTTTGATTGCGTTTGAGTAAGTTCTGCTAGTTGAATTCAAATGAATAATGAAGTATGAACATGTGATTCTTTGCAGGTAGCAGTTGCTCCTGGGGGTCGTTGGAACAGGTTCAAGACTTACTCCACACTACAAAGAACCTTTGAAATATGGGGTTTTTTTGCCACGTTTATCTTTAAGGCTTGGCTGAACAACCAGAAGTTCTCTTATAAAGGTTCGTACACTGAAGGTTTTAATGATGTTTCCATCCATTGAAATCTGTCAGGATCATCTATATGTGGCTTATAGTTATGGCTTTGTTTGTGTTTTTCACATAACGTAGTGCGATTAAGCTTGAAGAAGCTTGTTTCTTCTCTAAACAAATTCCCCCCCCTACAATTATGTGTATGAACTATGAAGTGCTCGCGAATCTGCTGAGGTCATGCCCAGGAATTCTGATTACTTATTTTGGGGCATGTTGACTTTTCCAATAAAAATAGTCGTGGTTTATTCATATGCATCCATAGTAGGAGACGGGGAGTGATTGCTATCCGTTTGGATCCAAACTAAATGATTAAAAAAAGACACAATCATGACTCCTTACTGGTTGAGTTTCTAATATTATGTTAGTCCTGTGAGCTTTTGAGTGATTGTAATGATTCCTTACTGGTTGAATTTCTAGTAGGGATGTTGATATGTTATGTTATAGCTGGAAATGGAAAATTTATAGTCATATATGGAAACTAAATCAACCACTTAAGTAGAAAACAAGGTCTATGTGTTTTCTATGTTATTTTTCACCACTAACACCATGGAAGTTATCATGTTTTGTGATACTGTGGTGTCATGCTACTTAGTGCTAATATGTTATGATCATAATGTGCTACTGCTTACTTAGGTGTGTGTTTTCTTGAGTTTTTTTTATTTATTGGTGTGGTACTATATGCCTTTGAAACTACTTTATATCCCACTATGCAAAATTATGAATTCGAACTCTAGAAATTGGTGTGAATGTTGTGGTAGCTTAGTTGTGTTACCGTTGACTATTACTGCATTATCAACTCAAGTCCCAATTGCTGGCCAAAGCTTCAACATTAATCTCATTGGTTTTATGAATTTACATTACCATTCTTAGAAAAATTGTCCAAGCCTTATAAGAAATATATTAACCATAATTTCTGGTCAATGTATGATCTCAATACACCCCTTCACACCTAAGAGTGGACATATGGAATGTGAACAAATGTGGATGACCTGATAACAACGCTCCCTTACACATAAGTATAAACATCTAGAGGGTAGAAATATGGGTGACCCAATAACAATTTAGGATAGACTCTGATATTATTTTAGAATTTGGATTTAGTTCCTAACTCAACTCCTCAAAATTAGTTTAAGGTAAGGATTACTCAAGCTTTATAAGGATTAAATTGGTCATATCTCTAGTCAATATGAGACTAAACACACCCCCTCACACCCAACACAGCGAAGATGCTCCAAAGAAACTGCAATTAAGGCGGCTGGTTAGGGGTAACCACAACTAAGTTGACTTCCCAAAGCTTCCCCTCACACATAGGGCTATGGGCATGGGGTATGGAAATATGGGTGACCCGATAATGGATTTAGGATAAACTCTAATGTCATCTTAGAATTTGGACTTGGGGCTTAATTCAATTCCACAAAACTAACTTGCAAGGTGAAAATTGCATAAGCCTTATAAGGAATGCATTAGCCATATCTCTAATCAATCTGAGATCTCAACACACTCTTCCAAGCCTAGGATTGGACATTTGGAGTGTGGATAAATGTGGGTGATCCAATAACAACACCTCGTTATACCTAAGATTGGACATCTAGAGCATAGAAAAATATGGGTGACCCAATAACAAATATATGATAGGCTTTGGTACCATTCTAAATTTTGGGCTTAGGACTTAACTTAATCTTGCAAAATCAGCTTATAAGATGAAAATTGTCTAAACTTTACTGAGATTGCGTTCGCCATATCTTTGCTGATAGGGACTAAACACCTCCCTTGCATCCAACACAATAAAGTGCTCCAAAGAGGCCACAATTAAGCTCGGCTAGGGATGACTATAATTAGGCTGATTTTCCAACACACCTACTCATGCTTAGGATGAGTCTAGAGCATGGTAATGGGGGAGGCTTAATAATGGATCAAGGATAGATTCTAATACTAATTCTAATACTCAAAATTTAGGTTTAGGGCCTAACACAACTAAAACTAGCTTATAAGGTGAGAATTGTCTAATTATAAGGACTACATTAGTGATAGTATCTGTATTCAATGTAGACATATGGATGGCCTAAGAACATATTTAGAATAGGCTTTGATACCATCGTAAAATTTGGGCTTAGGTTTAACTCAACCCACAAAACCCATTTAAAGGTAAGGATTGTGTATATTTTATGAGGACTATATTGGCCTCTTCTCTAGTCAATGTCAGATTAAAATTAAACACCCTTACACCCAACACAATGAATGTGCTCCAAAGAGATCACAAATTAGGTGGGTTTGGAGTGACCATAATTAAGATGACTTTCCAACAACTGTCTTTTTCGTATTTTGGTCTTTTACAATGTTCTTTTATGATATTTATGATCAGCATCTGTTTAAAGCATATTCCTAATAACTACAACCAAAAAACCTGTTAATCTATCAAGTGTTTCTGTCTTGAATTTGATAAATTTGTAGGATGCCAATGTCTGTTTTTATTTGATCTGAAGATATTATTTGCAGGAGGAATGACTGAGGAAAAAATAACCTTAAGGCGAAAGGCCCTTGCCAAGTGGCTGAAGGAAAGCATTCTGAGATTAGGTCCTACATTCATCAAAATTGGCCAGCAGTTCTCCACTAGGGTGGACATTCTTCCTCAAGAATATGTTGACCAGTTGTCTGAACTTCAGGTAAATTAGAGTTTTCAACATAATTTATAAGATTATTTCCCTGCATTGAGGTATGTTGAACTTGCTTCTGTTACCCATGCATGTCTTGTTAAAAAAGAAAAAAGAAAAAAGAAAAAAAGTCTAATGTAGGTTTGTTTTTGATAGGAGACCTGTGGTTAAACAGGTCTATGTTAGGAGGGAAAAGGGGGACAGTTAGTTAATTTTGTAACTAACTGATGACAGTCAGGTAGGGACTGTTAAATTGTATAAATAGGAGGGAATAAGGGAGAAGAAGGGGGGGAAGAAGTATTGTATTTTGGGAGAGATAGGCACTCTCGAATTGCCTGATTCATTGTATTCTTTCTTTCTGTTGTGTTGACAGCAAGAACTCAAGAACAATAATACTACAATCTTTCGTTATTCTCAAATTCTCTCTTAATATCCAGTTGAGACCTATCAACTGGTATCAAAGCAGGTACGAAACAGAGGCGATCAAAGATGGAAAAGAAAATGGATTTTAGGTTGGAACAGGTGGAAAAGGGATTGCAAGACATACAGAAGCGCGCGGTGGAGGAAAGTGAATGGCGGCGTAACATCGAGGGGGCTATGCGCGAAATGTTGGAGCAGTTGAAGGAGATGAGAGTAACCATGGGAAGCAACGGCCGCGAAGGGGACGAAATTCATGGGGACCCAAGAGCGGAAAAGAAAGGGTGGATGTGGCGAAACCTGGAATTGCCGCTGTTCCAGGGGGAGGACGTGTTAGGATGGGTTGGGCAGATGGAGAGATATTTCCGATTGAAGGGGGTATTGGAGGACGAAAAAGTGGAGGTTGCGATGGTGGCGATGCAGGGGAAGGCGTTGACGTGGTTTCAATGGTGGGAAGGCAGAAATCCAAATTCTGCGTGGGTGGGTCTCAAAGGGGCCTTGTTGAGACGGTTTCAGCCAGAGATGGTACAAAACCCGTATGAGGTATTGTTGGGCCTTAAGCAAGAAGGGAGTGTGGCTGATTACAGGGAAAAATTTGAGGCAAATTCTGGGCCTCTCCGGATCGGGGATACCAATTATTTGAAGGGGATTTTCTTGAATGGTCTCAAGGAGGAGATTAAAGGGGAATTGAGGTTGCATCAACTCAATTCATTAGAAGAAATTATGGATTTGGCCCTGTTGATAGAGTCCCGAAATTCTATTCTCAGGAAAGAAGGGGGTGGATCGTCTGCTACTAATAACAGAGGGGGATGGAGCAAGAACATTTATGGCAGCCGGAGGGAGGAAGAGAAGAGGAAGCAAGAGGAACCTACGGTGACGAAGGAAGAAGGAAGAACAAATTGGCGGCGCATGACAGATGCGGAGTACCAAGACAGGAGGAGAAGAGGGATTTGCTTCCGATGTGAAGAGAAGTATGCACCGGGACATGTGTGCAAAAACAAGCAAATTCGAATAATGCTGTTAGAAGAAGGCGTGGTAGTGGAAGATGAAGAGGAGGAAATCCAATGGAGTGGTAAACCATCCACCACAACATTAGATTTTCGGAGCATGGTGGGAATGACTTCAAAACATTCTTTTAAATGCTGGGGGGAGATAGGTGATAATTCAGTTTTGGTTTTGGTGGATTGTGGGGCTTCCCACAACTTTATTGCTGATTCAGTGGTAAGGAAATTGGGGCTGGAGGTGGAGAGAACTGAACCGTATTGGGTGAAGGTAGGGGATGGGCATAGTGTGAAGGCGCAGGGCATGTGCTCAGGGTTGGAAATGGAGTTACAAGGGGTTCCGTTGAGGCAGAATTTCTATCTGTTCGCTTTGGATGGGGTTGACGTGATTTTAGGAATGGAATGGTTGAGGGGGCTGGGAGAAATTAAGGCTAATTTTGATAAATTAACCTTAAAGGTTAGAGTGGGAGGAGGGGTCTATCTAATCAAGGGGGACTCTTCTTTGAGTGTGTTGGAAGCACCCTTGAAAGGCACCCTCAAGCAACTGAAGGAGGAGGACGAAATCTATTGGGTGGAATGTTGTGTGGCAGAAACGGAGTCAGGGGAGAAGATGAGAGCCATTCCGGACAGTATTCAGAAACTCTTGGAGGAGTTTGAGGAGGTTTTCAGGGAACCCCAGGGACTACCCCCGTCAAGAAGGCAAGACCATGCGATCAATTTGAAGGAGGGAGCGGAGATCCCTAACCTCAGACCATATAGATATCCATATTATCAAAAAAATGAGATTGAAAAATTGGTGCAGGATATGCTGAGAACCGGAATTATCCGACCTAGCATCAGCCCTTATGCTAGTCCTATAATTTTGGTTAAAAAGAAGGATGGGAGTTGGAGGTTTTGTGTAGATTACAGGGTGCTAAATAAGGTAACCGTCCCAGATAAATTTCCAATTCCAGTTATTGATGAGTTGTTGGATGAACTAACTGGGGCCACTATATTTTCCAAATTGGATTTGAAATCGGGATATCACCAAATTCGGATGAGAGAGGAGGATATTCACAAGACGGCTTTTAGAACGCATGAAGGGCACTATGAATACTTGGTAATGCCTTTCGGCCTTACTAATGCACCCTCAACGTTCCAAGGGCTGATGAACGAAGTATTGAGGCCATTTTTGAGAAAGTTTGTTTTAGTATTTTTCGATGATATATTGGTGTATAGCAGGAATTTGGAAGAGCATCAATACCACTTAAGGCAGGTGCTGAATTTGTTAAAGGAAAATGTGTTGATGGTTAATGGAAAGAAGTGTGAGTTTGCAAGGCCTCAAATGGAGTATTTGGGTCATGTTATTTCGGTCAAGGGGGTGGCAGCTGACCCTTCCAAAGTAGAAGCCATGCTTAAGTGGCCTCAACCTACGAGTCTTAAAGGTTTGAGGGGGTTTCTGGGTCTGACCGGGTATTATAGGCGATTTGTTCGTGGCTATGGGGTGATTTCTCGACCGCTGACTGAATTGTTAAAAAAGGAAGCATTCGTTTGGAGTGGGGAAGCCACCAAGGCTTTCGATGCACTAAAGCAGGCCATGGTCGAATTACCAATTCTGGCCATACCAAATTTTTCCAAACAGTTTGTGGTAGAGTCAGATGCGTCCAGCAAAGGGATTGGGGCAGTGCTGCTTCAAGAGGGCAGACCTTTAGCCTTCATGAGCAAGGCACTTTCTGAAAAGGCCCAGAGCAAGTCAGTTTATGAAAGGGAACTGATGGCGATTGTGGTGGCAGTTCAGAAATGGAGGCATTATTTGATGGGAAGGAAGTTCACTATAAAGACTGATCAGAGGAGCCTTAAGTTTCTTACAGAGCAGAGGTTATTGGGAGAAGAGCATCACAAGTGGACGACCAAGTTATTGGGATTTGATTTCGAAATCCAATACAAACCAGGTTATGAGAATAAGGCGGCTGATGGGCTCTCAAGGCAGATGATGTATGCTGCCATATCAAGAGTGGAAATGGAGGAGTGGCGGAAATGGGAAGAGGAGTTCTTGGGGGATGCTGAAATGCAAGCATTAATACAGAAATTGGTCACAGACCCGGATACGAAAAAAGGGTATGAATTGAAGGAGGGAAAATTATTCTTCAAAGGCAAATTGGTTTTACCCCGACATTCGAGCAGGATTCCTCTTATCATCCAGGAGTTCCATGCTTCAGCGATGGGGGGGCATGCTGGAGTCTTCAGGACTTTCAAGAGAGTATCGGCTGCATTTTTCTGGAGGGGAATGAAGAAGGATATTGCCAAATTCGTAACTGAATGCCACGTTTGCCAAATTAATAAGTATCAGACGTTAGCGCCAGGGGGATTGCTGCAACCATTACCGATTCCGACACAAATATGGACTGACATATCCATGGATTTCATTGGTGGACTCCCAAGAGCTTTAGGCAAGGATACCATTTTGGTGGTAGTAGACAGATTGTCCAAGTACGCTCATTTTTTACCCCTATCACACCCTTTTTCGGCACAAGAGGTGGCTCAAGTGTTCATTCAGGAAGTGGTGAGACTACATGGATTTCCGGAATCCATTGTAACGGACAGGGACAGATTGTTTTTGAGTCAGTTTTGGTCGGAGTTGTTTAAATCAGCAGGTACGAAATTGAAATATTCTTCTGCATATCACCCCCAGTCGGATGGACAGACAGAAGTGGTGAATAGGTGTTTGGAGGATTACTTGAGGTGTTTTGTAGGGGATAAACCCAGGCAATGGCCTAGATGGTTAGCTTGGGCAGAATTTTGTTTTAACACTCATTATAATCAGTCTTCGGGTATGACCCCATTCAAGGCTGTGTATGGAAGGGATCCTCCTACGATTTTCAAAGCTCAAACTTTTCCTTCCAAGGTGGAAACTGTGAATGTAATGGCAGAAGAGAGAGACGGAATTTTGGAAGAGTTGAAAGCTAACATTGGAAAGGCGCAGCATAGGATGAAACAACAAGCAGATAAGAAAAGAAGAGATGTGAAATTTGAGGTGGGGAACTGGGTTTATCTGAAGGGCCAACCGTATAGGCTCAAATCGCTGGCGAAGAGGAGAAATGAGAAATTGAGTCCTAGATACTATGGTCCTTTTCAGGTAGTGGCTAAGGTGGGTGAGGTGGCTTACAAGTTGCAGTTACCAGAAAACAGCAGAATTCACTCAGTCTTTCATGTCAGCAAATTGAAGAAGGCAGTTCCACCAGAAAAACAAGTGCAGTCCCTTCCGGAAGACATTTCTGCAGACTGGGAATTGCAGCCACAGCCGGCGGAACTTTTGTCTTACAGGTACAACAGAACAGGAGAGTTAGAGGTGCTTATCCAATGGCACAACCTTCCGGATTGTGAAAACTCGTGGGAGACAGCAACCCAGATGCAGATTGCATTTCCACAATTCCACCTTGAGGACAAGGTGATTGCTAGAGGGGGGAGTATTGATAGGAGACCTGTGGTTAAACAGGTCTACGTTAGGAGGGAAAAGGGGGACAGTTAGTTAATTTTGTAACTAACTGATGACAGTCAGGTAGGGACTGTTAAATTGTATAAATAGGAGGGAATAAGGGAGAAGAAGGGGGGGAAGAAGTATTGTATTTTGGGAGAGATAGGCACTCTCGAATTGCCTGATTCATTGTATTCTTTCTTTCTGTTGTGTTGACAGCAAGAACTCAAGAACAATAATACTACAATCTTTCGTTATTCTCAAATTCTCTCTTAATATCCAGTTGAGACCTATCAGTTTTCCATCTGTTTCTTTATGTAAGGGGCATGGGTTTCTAGTTATATTCTCGCATTCCATTTGCTTTTTCTTATTCTATTATGATCTCCTTTTATGCCTCACAGAGTATAAGATTATCAATGAAGTTTGAGGTAATTACATTGAGCTCCTTTAAGGTTAACAATCATTACACTTACACCTATAAATTATATCTATCTCCCTTGCACATCCATTGTTTTTGTTATTTTTAAAGATCATTTGTTATGATTTGTGCATAAAAAGGGGAAATATGTGTAATTTTCATTATTAAACAATGGGTATCAACAAGACTACAATATAAAATAGGGTAGGTCGTGCAATTTTTCAATCAAGAAGGGTGTAAGTGTGATTAGTGCTAAACTTAAGGAAGAAGAATGTAACTACCACTTAAAGTTTTTAATTTGTTAATCTTTTAATAATCTTAATCTAGTCAAGACTAACACTAGATGAAAGTTACACCTTCACTTTATTATGCAAAAATACTTTTCATTTCTTATCTTCTCAATTTGCACCTGTTCAATTTATGTGCATAAACGGAATGGCAAATGATATAGACACGTTTGTGATGTAATGTATTATGAGAAACAAACTTTCTTTTTATAAGATTGAATAGATTCATTTGTAATTCTTGTATTCTTGAGTTAAGACTTCCATCTTGCTCTTCTACTTTGGCAGCAAATGATAAAAATATAAAAGCTATTGAGAATGTTTCCCTTTGAATTCTGAAGCTGATGACAAGATGATCTTGATATAAAAATACATGTAAAAAAGCATAAAGCTGAAAGAGAAAAGAAAAATATTTAGATTGCATTTCTTTTGTGCCCAAGTCACTTCTTATTTTGGGTTCAGGATCAAGTTCCTCCATTTCCCTCAGAGACCTCTGTAGCTATTGTTGAAGAAGAGCTTGGAGCTCCTTTACGTGACATCTTTGATCAGTTTGATTATGAACCAATAGCTGCTGCAAGTCTTGGTAATCAATGTTTTACTTTGCATATTTTGTACTGTGATTCTAAGTTTCGTATTTGATGAGAAGACTGGCATTGTGAACTATTTTATTTTTCCTAACACAGGTCAGGTTCATCGTGCTAGATTAAAGGGACAAGAGGTTGTTATTAAAGTGCAAAGGCCTGGTCTCAAGGATCTTTTTGATATTGATCTTAAAAACCTGAGGGTCAGTGTTATAACTTAAGGCTTTTCTATAATGCTAATGGTGCTATCACTATGAGCAAATCTGATATAACTTTCAGATGAATTCATAATTCTCTCACATTTATTTTCTAATTTTTATTAACCTTCCAAGCTTGACAAGTCCTCTTAAAAATTTGTACATTATTAAATTGTTTCCCTTTTCCTTGCATACATTACTTTTTTGTCTGTATGGATAGGCACCTATACATTTAATTGTTTTCTTTATGAAGGTTTTTGGTAGCAAGACTTCCCATCCTCCAGATTTATTTTTTTTACAACTGCATAGAACACTGATACTAGTGTCTTTTCTTTTACCCCAGGTTATTGCTGAATATCTACAAAAATTTGATCCAAAATCAGATGGTGCAAAGAGGGATTGGGTTGCTATTTATGATGAATGTGCCTCTGTCTTATATCAGGTGATAATTTCCAGAAATTGGTTCATTCTTATGTTACTTGAGATTACTAAACTGAAGTAAGTAATTTGTCTAGTTCTCCATCATCTTGGTCTAATTCTGCTAAAAAGTGAAGTCCAAAAATAAGATTGTTGAGAAACACTACTTGTTTCGGGTTTGGGGTGCATGAGTGGGCCAAGAGACTTCTGTGAAATTGCATGTTAGGAAACCGAAGAAGCTCATTTGGTTCATGGAAGGAAGACTTTTATAGCAAAGATCCTAGAATTCTGAGGGCACAGACTAATTGAGACGGTCTTTTACTCAAACCAAAAAGTTAACTATATTTGAGTTGTTTGGAGAGAAGGGATAAGGTGGCTTGCAATGGTACTTCTTTATGACCTGGCTAGGCAATGTAGTAAATTGGGAAAATATATTTATGTTGTGCAGCTGTAATGCTTCGAAAAGAGGCATACTTGTTGGGTGTTCTGGATTTCATATTTTGTTAGATGTTTTTTAACTGCAAACTGTATAATTAATTTGCAAGTGTTACTGTGTTGGATTCTTGTTGATGTATAACTAAAGAGTTTCTTATGGCAATGTTGCTAAGATTCGGAAGACAGTAAGAAGTTTGAGAGAATTTATGCTTGCATGCATTACCAGCTGCTAGATCATAGTTTTGCATTGTCATAGATTGTTTATGTATAAGAAAACTAGATGTAAGAAAACCATCAATTTAATACAAATGTGGACTTTAGATCACTCAGAGTGGCCGGTCACGATTTAGTTCATGCTTGAGCTGTGAATCTGATTTTGTTTTGTTAAGATGTAAGCACATGTTCTCAGTGAATAGCATTTTCTGATCCTCCTGTTACTGAAAACAGGAGATTGATTACACCAAGGAGGCCACCAATGCAGAATTGTTTGCAAGTAACTTTAAGAACATGGATTATGTGAAAGTTCCTATAATCTACTGGGATTATACCACACCACAGGTTTGACCTTCATTGCACTGACATATGCCAAATGTAGTAATGCACATATTTCCCATTTTATGTCTGATATCTATGTTGTCAATGCAGATTCTTACAATGGAGTATGTTCCAGGGATTAAAATAAACAAAATACAAGCTTTAGATGAACTGGGTGTTGACCGCAAAAGGTTAGTAGAATTTTTATTTATTTGCTGGGCAAAATCACAATGAACATGTTAGATTGTTACCTTTTACTTTTGTGCATCTCTGTTGAGGAGGACATCTAACTTGATTCAAAGTGTTTGTTGTGTTCTACAGGTTAGGGAGATATGCTGTTGAGTCATACTTGGAACAAATTTTATCACATGGTTTCTTCCATGCTGACCCTGTAAGTTTACATTTTTAGAATTGATATCAGAGTTCTCTTTATATATTATGTTATATATGGATTGGCTATGTGGTAAATTGTATGGGATTGGTAAAGCCAAACCAAAAAGTTAAACTGTCTTTGAACTTTCTCTATGCTGCAACATTAGCATCTATTGTCAGAGCCATGAGATGTATGCTACTTGCGTTTTATGATTATTATTCTTTTGCAAGTCTGTTTGGTGGGGGGGCTTGTATTTTGACAATTTCAGGCTATGTGGTAAATTGTATGGTATTAGTAAAGCCAAAATGTTAACTGTCTTTGAACTTGCTCTTTGCTGCAATATTAGCATCTATTGTCTGAGCTATGAGATGTATGCTACTTCTGTTTTATGATGATTATTCTTTTGCAAGTCTGTTTGGTGTGGGGGCTTGTATTTTGACAATCGTAGGCTGTCTCTCTCATTGCCCTATAGTAACTGTTATATGTTAAGTAATCGCCTTCCCCCATGTGGCACCACTAAAATTGCTAATGCTAACTTTTGCTTTGATTGATGAGTGGGTCTTGCCATCAAGCTTCTCCATTTTGGGCAAGACTGTATATTTGTTTTTTGGAAACCTTTTTGTACATTTGCTACTTATTGGGGGATTTATATGACAATAAAAGCCTTATCTCACTAGGTGATAGGCATGGCAACGGGGCGGGGGCGGATTTTACGTTCCCCGCCCCCGTCCCCGCCCCCGATACCCGCTGGGGGTAAAATCTGGGTACCCATCCCCGCCTCCGGCGGGGTTCGGGTTTCCCCGCCCCGTCCTCGCCTCCGCTCCTATTTTTTTTCCTTCTTTTTTTTTTCTTTCTTTTTTTCTTTTAAACAAATATGAACAAATTTAAAAAAAAAATAAAAGAAAAGTAAAATAATTTAAATTTTTACATATAAATATTTCTAATTTTGGTTTATATATATAAAAATAATTTTTTAATTATATTATTAAGCGAGGCGGGGGCGGGGACGGGGCGGGTATTAACATCCCTGTCCCCGCCCCTGCCCCCGATTTTATCAACCGGGGAAAATCCGAACCCGATAAACACAGGTTTTCCCTGTCCAAATCGGGGCGGG